GGGGGGGGGGGGGGGGGGGGGGGGCGAAACAGAGTTTTCTTCAGATTTAGCACTGGTATGTATGCTGCTTGAGAGAGGGGAGCGGAAGGTGGGCGGAATGGGAGGAAGGGGGGAGGAGGAAGAGGGAAGGCAAAGGGAAGCTCCCCTCCTCTATATCTGGCAATGTAACTTATACAGCACAATACACTATACGGCTATCCCTGCGTAAGTTGCTTAAGGCAACTCTCCGCCCGCTTCCGATTTCCCGCAACTGCGCTGCTTTGCTTTTAGACTCGCAGCTGCATATTTCCCAACTCCTTGGCGAGTTGCGAATAACAGCTCTGCACCGAATGCCAACTGCAAAGTACCCCTTCCCCTATCGCAATAGAAACCAACTGTGACCAAGAAGGGGAAATTGTCCCCCCCCTCCCACCCGATAGGGAAACCCTTCTCGACAGCTTAAACTAGAAACGGGCCTCAGAAGTACCTTCCCCAGGTCTACCGATAACCCCGCACGCCAGCACCCCCTCGCTGCTAAAGTTCCACCACCACCGACCTCTTCCGTCTGTCTTCACCCCAGTGTTTCGAATTTGCCTGGTCTGTTCCAGAGCTCTACAAGCCCATAATATTACTTTGTTGTGACGACGAAACATTAACTCATAAAGAATTCATTTGTTCAACAGAGAAATACATGATAAAAACGTTTGACGATGTCGTGGTGCACAGCACTTACGGATGATAATTTAAAATAAAAAACACCCTCTATGATTGATAAGTGGGGAACAAAGCCACTTCCTCCCCCCTCCATGGGTGTTTCCGGTCAAAACAAAACTGACTAACAAACGAACAAACTTCTAATGGAACAATCAATGGTAAAGAGACGAAAAGCACATGGGGGGAGGTACGCACACATAAAAGAAAACAGTCGAAGTGAGATCAGAAGTTCCAGGACCACTGCCTAATCCACTTCTTCAATCGTTGGTCCACCTCCAGAAGCACCACCTCCTGGATGACCACCTGCTCCCGGCATACCACCAGGCATACCTGAAAAACATTTCAGAAATTAAGGCCCCAGAAATCCCGGACCTACGCCACTTCTAAAATTTTCCTACCGAATTTAAACCCCTATATTGATAGCTCAGTAATACATGCTATTGATATGAATTTTCCCAATTAAATTCCTGATATTTCGTCCTCCCTATAAAAATCAGCTAATTTGCCTGCGGATGGCATGGGCCGGGAAAAAATTCATACCTCCAGGCATGCCACCAGCGCTCTGGTAAAGCTTCGTAATAATCGGGTTGCAGACGGATTCCAGCTCCTTCTGATGATGCTCGAACTCGTCCTTCTCGGCCGTCTGGTTCCCATCCAGCCACCTTAACGTCTCATCGCACTTGTCCAGGATCTTTTTCCTGTCATCTTCCGATATCTTATCCTTCAACTGAAAAACGACCAATGTTTAGAAACTGCGACTTTGCAATTTAATAAGACTATGAACCCTAACTAATCAAAATCCAAGAAACTCACCTTCTCATCCTCAACCGTTTGCTTCATATTGAAGGCATATGACTCCAGAGCATTTTTCGATGCGATACGTTCTTTCTGCGCATCATCGTCCGCCTTGTATTTCTCGGCCTCCTGCACCATTCGCTCGATTTCATCCTTTGACAAGCGTCCCTTATCGTTGGTAATAGTAATCTTGTTTTGCTTGCCAGTTGATTTGTCCTGTGCTGAGACATTCAGGATACCGTTTGCGTCGATATCAAAAGTGACTTCGATCTGTGGCACTCCACGAGGCGCTGGTGGAATCCCCGAGAGCTCAAATTTGCCAAGCAAATTATTGTCCTTTGTCATCGCACGTTCACCTTCATAAACCTAAAATGAGATACAGTGCATAAGAGGTAAAACGCTGTGAAAAAGCCGCATAGTACCACAGTCTCAGGGAAGAGAGGAATCTACCCCGATCTTATTACATCTACTAGGCCCTGAAATTATAAATAGTAAAGGGATTGGTTTTGTGAACAAGAAACCAGGCGTCCCAATCTTTGACTTGAAACTAGTACAACTACGCTCAGAGCCCCTCCTTTGGTTGGGCGATAAGCATACCTGAATGAGAACACCCGGTTGGTTGTCCGAGTAAGTGGTGAACGTCTGCGATGTCTTCGTCGGGATTGTTGTGTTCCGCTTGATCAGCGCAGTCATAACACCACCAGCTGTTTCAATGCCGAGCGAAAGTGGCGCCACGTCAAGCAACAACAAGTCCTGTACAGCTTCCGATTTGTCACCCGACAGAATAGCCGCTTGCACAGCTGCACCATATGCCACAGCCTAAAAAACACCGATTTCGTTTCAATAATAAATAAAACTTTCCCAGAAACTACGTACAAGCAATCCGCTGATTTTCCAATAGTTTTAAAACCTCAAAAGAAATGACCTCATCCGGGTTGATGCTTTTGTTTAGTTCCTTGCCAGAGAAGAAATCCGAAAGAAGCTTCTGCACTTTCGGGATACGTGTCGAGCCGCCAACCAGCACGATATCGTGCACTTGGGCTTTGTCCATTTTCGCGTCTCGCAGTGCCTTTTCCACCGGATCCATTGTCGAGCGGAAGAGATCGGCGTTGAGTTCCTCGAAACGAGCGCGTGTGATATTGGTGTAGAAATCGATTCCCTCGAACAATGAGTCGATTTCAATGCTGAAATAAATAGTGTTTGCCACAAAAATTCATCACTAAGTGGGATCTCGGAAGAGCACCAATGAAATGCAAGGCCCTAAACGAATGGAAATCAAACCTCGCTTGCGTGGAGCTGGAGAGTGTTCGCTTGGCACGTTCACATGCAGTTCGGAGACGGCGAAGAGCACGCGGATTCGATGCCAAATCTTTTTTATGCTTTCGCTTGAATTCAGCAACAAAGTGATTGACCATGCGATTATCGAAGTCCTCACCTGGAAAAACCATACCTCACTGAATAAGGTCACACAAAAAAACAAAATTTTGAGCAAAAAAAGATAAACATCTTACAAACTATAAGAAAAGGTAACAAAATTTCAGGGATTGGGGAAAAAAACCTAACAAAAGCAGGAAATAGTGCGCATACCTCCCAGATGTGTGTCGCCTGCAGTGGATTTGACTTCGAAAATACCATCTTCGATGGTCAGTATTGACACATCAAAAGTGCCACCTCCGAGATCGAAGATCAGCACATTGCGTTCACCATGTCCCTGCAAATCCAACGATAATCAGATAAAACTACGCTACTCAATCGTCAGACATATTACCCATGGGATTTCACTCATCCTGAAATAAAACACTTGACTCTTTATCCACTCGGAATAGTCCAGTACAGTTAGCCTAACTGTTCAGCGTGCAGTGGGACACGTAACGTGGCTTCAGTCCCCTTGTCCCGAAATGTTTCCTTACCCTCGGAAAAAACTTAGCCCAAAATCAAGCCATAGGTCGTCCAGCTTGTTCCTTCAAAAATTTCTTGGAAATCCCCGGTACCAGACTTCATAACACGCGGAAGCGGTTTTATTCCAGACCCCGGTCACCTAGTGTTGGCAAACTGCCAAGAACACAGTCACCTTTTTGTCCAATCCATACGCAATGGCAGCTGCAGTAGGTTCGTTTATGATACGCAGCACATTAAGGCCCGAGATTGCGCCCGCATCTTTGGTAGCCTGTCGTTGTGAGTCGTTGAAGTAGGCTGGTACCGTGATCACTGCATCCTTCACTTTGCGCCCCAAGTATGCCTCGGCCGTCTCCTTCATCTTGATCAGTACCATCGAGGAGATTTCCTCCGGCGTAAAGGTCTTCGTCTCGCCCTTGTATTCCACCTGCACCTTTGGCTTACCGCCACCAGCATTGATCACTTTGAATGGCCAATGCTTCATGTCGGACTGCACTGCTGGGTCGTCAAATTTACGCCCAATCAGTCGTTTTGCATCTGAAAACACAACATTCTCGTTGAAGATGGCACTACTCATTCAGTGGAAGCAAAGAAATTTTGTCCATCGAAGTATAGAAAACTGACCGAACACGGTGTTATGTGGATTCATGGCCACCTGATTTTTCGCCGCATCACCAATCAGACGCTCGGTGTCCGTAAATGCAACGTATGATGGCGTCGTACGGTTACCTGAAATTATGTATGATTGAGACTTCATTAAACACCGTTTAAAGTGCTCAGTTACAATCAGGAGAAAACCTGGCACAATGAAAATCTGGCGCTCCTGATTGTGTACGTGTGTGTGTGTGTGTGTGTGCGTGTGTGTGTGTGTGTGTGTGTGTGTGCGTGGGACGGGGGGAAGGGGCTGCATTCTGCTCATCTGATCA